TGTGTGTGTGTGTGTGTGTTTCTCTGTGTGTGTGTGTTTCTCTCTCTCTCTGTGTGTGTGTGTGTGTGTGTGTGTGTTTCTCTCTCTCTCTGTGTGTGTGTGTCTGTGTGTGTGTGTGTGTGTTTCTCTCTCTCTCTGTCTGTGTGTGTGTGTGTGTGTTTCTCTGTGTGTGTGTGTGTGTGTGTGTGTGTGTGAGTGTGCTTCAGCTCCAGAGAGCTACAGTGATCTGAAGGCACTCTTGCAGGATCACGGATCAGAGCAGCAGCGCCTCATTCTGGACAGAACGCTGAAGTGTCACCATCCCAGTCTGGCCGCAGGAAACAAAGCCAAACTACAGGTCAGAGACATTTTCTGTTTTTTTTAGTAAGTTTTAGGGGTGGAGGAAAAATCAATACAGCATAGTATCGTGATATCATCAATACTGTATCGATACACTGACGCCAAGTATCAATCTTTTATTATACTATTTGGTTGAATAATTAAATGCATTTCTTTACTGTCCACTAGATGGTAGTGTTGAGTTTTTTTCTGGTGAGGTCAGCTGGGTCACCTTCAGCATGCAGCAAGTTAGTAAAATAAAGGTCCGCGTTTAAATTGGATGTAAAACTGCTTTATTTATTTAAAATTGAACAGCAATTTAGTTTCAAATGCCTCAATTGCTGAAGGGTCTGCACAACTTTTTTTGTACAAGTTGCGTTGTTCAGAATACCTGTCGTAGCACAGCAGTGCATACCTGATTACATTTAGTTAAGGTGGACTAGATTAGACTGCAATACTAATAGTTGAGTTTGTCAGGTGCATACAACATTTATGACAGGTTTTCATGAAAGTGTTGGTCAGTTTGTCTGCTTGACGATCCCATTTAGCACTGCAGCAATACAACTGAGATATGTTCTTTTTAGTTAAAACAGGTGTTGCCAAAGTTTTCCTTTGGGGACATAATTTGAAGTTGGAAAAAGTTAATAAATTGCTATATATTGCAGAATATTACAATATATTTAAAATCGCGATTATATTGCATCGTGATAATATCGTATCGTGGGGCCTCTGGTGATTCCCTCCTCTAGTAAGTTTGTTATTTTGTTGCATTTTTGTCATTTTCATCATTTTTTTTAATGTCTATATAGTTTTTATTAATGTTTATTTTATTTTTTTCAGTTTTAGTTATTTTAGCACATCAAGTTAAACTTGCCTAGGCAACTAGCTGAAATAAAAAAATTATTAGTATTATTTTTAAACTTTTTTTTTTCAGGATTGCTTTTAGTTGATTAGTTTCTTGTGTGTTGTTCTTTGCTGTTCGTCTTTTGCTATATTTGCAGAATATTGTCTTATATTGTTGTGTTTGGCTTTGTGTAAAGCTTTTAAGTAAAGCAACTTGAGAAAGTAACATTTAAAGGCGCTATATAAAATACAATTATTTTTATTATTATTATAAGGTTTTTGTATTTTATTTTGGGTTATTTTGTATTGTATTTCATTTAAATAAAAATCTTTTATGGTTGTAGTGTAAAAACGTCTCAAGTGCTTCAGTAGAAGTTGTTTGGCCGTTTTTAATTTCCTCACTTTGTGATGTTTTGAGTCTGTCAGGATGCTGCATATGTAGATGTCTCACAGTGTGTTTAGCGTTTAACACGGAGTCGTTGTGTGTGTGTGTGTGTGTGTGTTAAATGTGATTGTGTTTTATTCTGTGTTCAGAAGTTGTTCGGCTTTCTGCTGGAGTATGTTGGTGATCTCGCTACCCAGAATCCTCCTGATCTGAGAACCGTCAGTGCACTTATCCCGTGAGTAACACACACCATATAGACACACTCTCTCTCTCTCTCTCACACACACACACACACACACTCCACACACACACACCACACAGACACACTCTCTCTCACACACACACAGACACACACACCACACAGACACACTCTCTCTCACACACACACACACACAGACACACTC